GCAGTGTGTCAGAGATTCTGACATCCTCAGGGGCTGTCTCTTATACACATCTAGATGTGTATAAGAGACAGAGAAATTTCTGTCTTCCCTCTCCCACCCCCCCCCCCCACTCCTCCTCTGCCCTTCTTAAGACCCTTTCACCCCTCCTCCTACAGCTGTACATCCCAACCGTGATGTCAGCCAGAGCTCTTCTTCATCTTTGTCTTTTCCTCATTCTCCTCCTCTTCATTCTCCTTCTCTCCTCTCGCCCTGCACACACGTAACACACACCGCTTGTTTAAAAATACACTAATTTAATCAAAAAGAACTCAGTCTTGCTGAAACTCAGCCTCGCCTAATATGCAGGCAAGGCGGGAACTTACACTCCAACAACAGAAGGACCTCAGCTGGTCTGTTTTCCTTCTGTTATCAGATCAGACGCACCCCTGAAGTCTCCGATGCCCCACTCTCACTCTGAGTCACTCCAGATTTGTCCAACTTACTGCAGTTAAACTCCAGGATCGTTACAGTAACTTTTTTTTTAACTTACATTGAATTTCACCCTTTACCGAAAACCATACTAGTCTGTCACTGTAACAGTTCTCCAACTAGTAACTCAGTTAATATGAAAGTTACCGTAGTTTTTTTAACTTCCACAAGCTCGCCCATCGTTCTTACATCATAGACGGACTCCGAAGCTCTACTAACGCTTTCCCAATTTCCCAAACATCCCCGACGTTTTACTGAACTTGCCTCCGGAAGTTTTACCTCCGGACGATTTACCAAACTTGCCTGATTTGCCTCGCCGGAAGATTTACCGAACTTGCCTGATTTGCCTCGCCGGAAGATTTACCGAACTTGCCTGATTTGCCTTGCCGGAAGATTTACCGAACTTGCCTCCGAGTCCCCGGAACATTTACCGAATGCGCTTGTGGAAGTGTGTCGAACCTGCGTCTTAAGTTTGAAATTCTAGGGAATTTACGAAACAACACTAAGTTAAACTTAGAGGTAATCCTGGAGCAGATTGTGACTCTGTGAGACTGTGAGTAGAAGAGCTCTGACTCACCAGAGGGCCAGAGGGCGATCCGTACGATTCCTTAGATAAAGTAGTGCCAGCAGAAAAGGATGATGAAGGGGTTGACTTTTAAAAAATGGCCTCTGAGACTCCGAGCAGACATTGTCAACCTGGTTTGACTTACGAGAATGAAACTTCAAAACCCTCAAAACCCCTAAAACCCCCTCAAACCCCCCTCAAACCCCCTCAAACCCCCCTCAAAACCCCTCAACCCCCCTCAAAACCCCTCAAAACCCTCAAAGTCTATCGCCGGTCGGAAAATTTAAGGCGTTGACTTGGCCTGAACGAGTGTGACTAACTACCCCTCCGCCGGTCATGAATGAATGTGAATGACATGATGAATGAGTGTGAGTGCGATGGGACTGTGAGTGTCAGTGAGCGATCCTCCAACAGGCTGAGCTTCATTTTACGTGTACCTCACAGGCTCGACCTTCCACTCTCAGACTGGTCAGCAGCAATGGAAAGGCCAGCGTGAAAAGCAAGGGAGTAGAGGCCGTCCCAGAGCGATTGGATCAGGAAGGGAGTCTCAGATAAATAAATGAAAATTTGTTGGACTATCAGCTGCAGAGTTTGGAACCGAAAGGGAGATCACTGATCAGTAAATGAAAACTCTTTCACAGATGCAGACTCTCGTATCATGGTTGCCCCTTTTTTTTCTGTCTGCCATCTGCCATCGCTGCTGCTGTGCTACTGATGTTCGGCTGGTTTGAAAATTTCTTGGTCTGGCGTCGGCAGCGTGTCCTTCTCTTTCCTTGGTCCCGTCGAGAAATGAGCCAAAGGAAGATATGCGAACTGCTGCACACTGACTCTCTTGAAGCTGACTAAGAACTGCTGTTGCCTTTTTCTCGTGGTCCCGTCGTTGCACTCACTCTGCCATCATTTGGCCCATTTCTCCACGGCGCGTCGACGCCAAGCAATCTGTAGTGAAGGATTTTCCTGCTTGTCCTGCTTTTCCACTGGAAGGTCTGACCAATTGCAGACTTTGCAGTTGCTACTACGGATCGAGACGGTCGGCTTCCCTCTCCCTGTTCCCTCCTCGTGTCACGGAATTTGCAGCCATATCCGATCACCCCCCTGAATGATATCTGTGGCCGTACTTTGCAGTGCAGATGAGATATTATATGAACGGCACTGTGACAGTGTCACTTACTTTAACTCAACAGTGTCACTTACTTTAGCTCCGTTTGCTGTGGCCAAGAGAGGGAGGGAGCTTGAAGGCGGTGGGAGCAGGGATAGAGGGATCCTCATCCGCATCCCGTTGACAATGTAATGTAGATCGGAGCGGCCCTGGACAGTGGAGGCTTTGTCGATGGTCAATTTCACCTCAGGCTGATGCTTGGCAGCGGTGAAATGGCAGTGACTGTGGCGTCAATTATGGCGATGACTCCGATTCGACAGCAGCACGATGGTGGCTCTGTTTACAATGGACCGGACCTTGGCTGCTTGCGCACAGTTGGAGTTCAACTTGGCTGAACCTGAACGTAATTACCGCCGAATGCAGTTGACAAAAGATAGCATTACCGTACGTATTGAAATAGCTCCCAGATTGGCACAACGTATATGAACGTAACTATGGCCAAGTGCACGCACAATGCCCCGTCATTGACATGTGAAATGTCGAAGGTGGTATTTGGTATTTCCCACTGGCTTCTGCAACAACTTTGGAAGCCGAATTTTCTGAACGACAGTGGACTCTGTGGAGGGAGCCTATGGGAGTGAAGGGGAACCCTCTGGGACGGAAGGGACCGAAGGGACATTCGGGGACTGAAATATTAACCGTAACTTAAAGGGAGGCTGTGCATAGATAAGTCACAAGTGTGACAGTCTGACGGAGTCTAAGGATATATTAATTGAACGGCGACCAGCAGGCCAAAAGAGGGGCAACCCGGGCAAGAGGCAAATTCTCAAAGGTCACCCGAAAGAGATGGCTGGCACGAAAGAATAAAATATCTGAAAATCCTGACGATGAATTGGCCGAAACCTAGAATGAATGTGTTTGTGTTTAGGTCTACACTCAGTACACTGTGATGTGACGATCAATCTACAGTCTTCTTCTTCTTTCTTTCTTTCTTTCTTTTTTTTTTTTTTTTTTCCTTTCTTTGTTTGTTTTCTTTCCTGTAAATTCCTGCAACTGCTGCACACTCGTTACTCGTGTTCCTCCTTACGACTGTGACGTACGCTGGGCAAAGGTCAACCCAGTGTCAAGGTCAACGCTATAGTCCTCTGTATTGTATCACTCTAACTAATGAACAATAATAATAATAGTTGACTGAAAGGAAAAGAAAAAGATGGAAAAAAAAAAAAAAAAAAAGCCAGGGTGGACGAAACCACAAAAAAAAAAGTTCTAGATGGGGGGAACCTTACTAATCCCTCCTCGAGTTGGTCACGTTGCGACTGTATATCTTCACGGATGATACAGAAAATGTCCCAAACACCAAGCCAGGGGGGGAGAGAGAGAGAGAGAGCGGGCAAGCGAGCGAGCTAGCGAGAGAGAGAGAGAGAGAGAGAGAGAGAGAGAGAGAGAGAGAGAGAGAGAGAGAGAGAGAGAGAGAGAGAGAGAGAGAGA